CGTACGTAATATATATTTAGTTGTACGTACATTGAAGTACACGATAGTAGTGTACGTGTGTTCTAATATATGACAAAGCCGAAACATTTAATGTAGGTTTTTGATAGTGTACGTACATGAAACACGATAGTGTACATACGTTCTCAGATATGATATAAAGCATAAACATTTAATGCAAATCATTAATTGTCATGGCAAACGAAAAGTAAGAGCATTTTCGTTCAGAAATTTTGCCATGTGACTAATTTGTAAACCAAAACTCACTTGTGACTTTTTAGCAATTACAAACTCAAATCGTGACATTTTAGTAAATGTCTCTTTTATGTGATCAGAGAGATGTTCCTATAGGAAAAACGTCCGAGTTTATATTGTTTTTTTCCGTATGTTTATTTTTTTTTGGGCAAACCAACTTCATTCAAGTAAAAATCTTACACAGGGGAAATCTTACACAGGGTAAAAATCTTAGAGCCTCTTTCGCGAGAGAGTATCAGCGGCTATATTTTCCGAACGAGAAATGAAAAGAAAGCGGATAGAAGAAAATGAACTCCTTAGACAACTAATGTCAAAGAGAAGGCTTTTCACCTCATTGATCACATCTCCACCGTTGAGGAGTGTGACAAGAGTTTGAGAGTCGGATAACAAATTAAGCTGCGAGCATGGCGGCTGTAATAGCTAAACCTTCAGCAACGAGTGCTGAGGCGACGAACCTGTGCGAGGAGGAACCCTGATACAAAGTGGTGTTGCTCTGGTTCGTAATTCTCCAAAGAAGCCGCATTCCACGCCGAGTAAGACGTTACGGTCTGGTCCTTGTGTGCGAGGCTTGGACGGAGCTTTGCAATTTTCCTTAGCCCCTTGATGAGCCACTTGCCATTCCCGTGCATCCTGCATAATTTTCTGACAAACTTCAACAGAGCATTACGAGATTATTTCCATAACTGCCAAAGAATCCACGGGTACAAAGGTGTGGTGATTCCTGTTGGAGGGAGGCTGATCATCTTGGTCGACTTTGAGAGAAGCAAGGACAGAGATACGACCTCTTCTCGATCTGGTTTGAAAATTGATGGAATACAATCCCATACTTTAGTTGCAAACGGACATTTTAGGAGAATGTGTAGTTCGTCTTCTATTCCGTTGCATGTTAGGAGAATACAATCGTTTTTTTCCGCATGTTAGAAATAATTATTTAAGACTTAAGAGTAAGAATGAGTGCCAATATTCATATTAGTATAGATCCATCATGCATTCATGCCTAAGTTAGGGTTGTATGCTACATATTTTTATTTTCGTTGGATTAGGTGAAGAATATCGATAAAGTTGTCATGACTGATGATCCTTACATACAAATGAACGAACCATTTATGTTTTGAACTTGCTACATTTTGTTAAAGTATTTTGTATTATTAATATCATAATTTCTATAGATTTTCAATTTCTCTACTGGGAGATTCCATTATTGTTGCTGGTCCTCTGAATTTGAGGAAAAGAAAATATGTCCATAAATAAAAAGCACACTGATATATAACAAAGATGATTATATATTTTTTTTCTACTTTTATTTTAAAACTGAGCTAAATAAGGTAGATGACTAATGCACTTAATTATTTTCTTGATATCTGAAAACAGAAAAAGGACTTTCATAATGTAGCAAGTTGAAATTTTTCTGATAATTTGATTTCACGATAAGTAAAATTAAAAAGAACGAAATGAAAGATCATTCTCCAAAGAAACAAATAGAATATCTGGCCAAAAAAAAAAAAAAAACATTGTGAATACTGAATGCTAGTAATAGAACTTTTTTTGTTGGTTTAATACTAATAGAATTTCTTAAGAATAGTAAGTAAACCCATTAATGGTGTAAAATTACTCAAGTAACAACCATAACAGGAAGTAAACCCATTAAAGTTTCTCAATCAAGTCCTTTAAATGTCTTGCAGGATTTAAGTGTTTAACAATCTTTATAGCTTAGGCAACGAAAGAATATGCCATGGTTTTATTTTACTACCTCGAAGGCAACTTCAGGTTTAATCAATGGATCGCTTAATCCTGTAGTTGTAATCTCCGAAATGGACCTTTTTAGCATCGTATAAGCTTCATGTATATTTCTCTTTGGTGCCCCTGATCCTCCTCTAGGCTCATTGAGGACGTTTCCTTGTTGAGATTCAAAGTAATCACGAGAGTCCTGATTCGATAAACAAGAAAGCGTAAGAGAAATTACGCAGCAATATCAATCATAACCTTTTATTGAAAGAGAGCCAAAAACCTTGATAGAATGGAGGTTTGTACCGCTTTCTAAAGATACTCTGCTCTAAAATATTTTGTCCAGAACTCTTTTTCTGTCATCTGGCATAGGAATAATAACTACGACATTCGTCGTATTTGATGATTATTACCAAAAGATGTGATAGTGTTGAAGTCTTTGTTACCTTACTCGGTACATAATTTCTGAATGCTTGCCGAACAGCTGGCTTCTCAGCAGAAATCTGAAACCGCGATGAAGAAATCATATGCGAGGAAAGGGCCGGTACCACAAATGAATACAACATTGAAGTATTCTAGCTACATATAAATTGTCTCCATTTGATGCAACCTAATCTCAATGTATCACCAGTTGCAACTTCTCAACCCCATTCACCAATATAAACTTATATCACAAACACAGCTTGGATTTGGATTCAGAAACATAGTAAACCAAAGAACTCACCTGAAAGATTATCTCAGGGGTTAAGTTAAATGTCACCTTATTAGTCTGAAAGAGCCAGAGTGAAGAAAACTGGTTAGTAAACCAAATGAAATTTCACAATTATATAAAACAACAACAAATAGATGTACCATATACCTGCCCATCAGTAGATGGTTTGATTCCAGAAATCATCACGTTCTTGAGCCCAACCTGTTGTTTCCACTTTCTGATGGAATCGTTACAAAGTAATTCCTGCAAATTAGAATAAAGAAAGTCGGTAACTATGACGACGATTACACTTAAAAAAGAAGAGAAAATTGAAACCTCAAAGAAAGAACCAACCTTTCTTGTATCCCAGAATTCATCATCTGTCAGGACTTTACCTCCCACAAGGAGCTTATGCAATCTCTGCAACTCACTTCATATCATGTATATTACTCATGTAACCGGGTAATTTTAAACCGATAAAAGCAACTTAATGTTCTGATTACACACACCTATTTTCTCGAAGAAGCTTGAAGCGTAGCTCCAACTCTTCGATACTGAGTTGCTCAGAAGATGTCGAAGCAGCTGATTTCTTAGACTCCTCTTCACATCTAGCAATGTCCTTATCTATTCATAGTAGAAATGGTTGCAATAACACCACAACAACAGAAAGTACTTGATCAATTCAATAAAAAAGCAAACAATGGCATATGGATCAACTTACTGATGAAATCACGGCAAGTATGCATTTCCGGATAATTTTTAAGCTCAAATATATGAGACCTTCCCTATAATCGGAAAAAACAAACAAGGAAGCTTCAATGGTTACAGGGAATAAAGCTTCAAAATAAAATAAAATAAGAACCTGCTTG